CATATACTCATGTGCAAGGATTTTGGATTGAGCTCCTTGAGAAGAAGCACACCGACAATTGCTTGCATTTGGAAAAGCAATAAAGACGAGGAATAAGATGAAATTGTGGACAATGTGCTCAATTGCGGGTTTCGACACCCACCTCACATTTGGTTTACTCTTTCCATCTTCCCTCATCTTGGATTTGCTTTCTTAATTGCATTTGGATTGAATGAATATGAATTGTTGTGTGAATGTGTTTTCTTTCTTCCCCTCCCACCCACCCCTTGTGCCTTTATTTTCAGCATTGAGGGCAATGCTCCATTCTAGCTTAGGAGAGTAGCTATTCGCTAGCTTGGGGGGTTATCTATATCTCTTGGTGGTTTCTTAATCCATAGTCTCATGATTGCTTGATTTATTTCTCTCATACTTGCCAAAGTCCATTATTGAGATTGGTTTTCTATGTTTGGATGGCCATGAGCGCCTTATTGAGTTGACTTTTAGTATTTGTAGCTTTGATTGATCATGCTTTCATCTTGCACAATTGTATATGCATTCTTGAGTAATGTTGTTTTTGTGAATATTTGTGTGTATAGTGTCTTTCCATAGCATTCAAGGCAAGTTTCAAAATGTTTTGTTTTAAACTTGGACATAATTGGGCTTTAGCACCTAGAATACCCTCTTTGCTAGTTGTTAGAGGTTTTCGTGCACTTGAATGTCGAGGTTGGTTCACACATATAACATTGCCAAGGTAGTAGAACTTAAGGGCTATGAGATCTTAGCTCACTTGGTTTGTGGTAAGATGGTTGTCGCTCTCTAGCTAGTTGAAGCTTTAAAGGTGATTTTTGCTACTCCACTACCGTCATTTTTGTGAGGATGTGTCTATTTTGTTCTAGCCTTCTACATTTCTTTCATGTGTGGCGTTTGGATCCTTGGCATTGCTAGCTTATATCGAGAATTTAGCTTAATCTACCCAAGATCGAGACCGAACCAACCTAGGGGAAGACGAAGGCAATTAGGATTTTTGTTTTGTTTTATTATTTTCTATTCTTTTATTTTTCTTTTGCATTTGCTCATTTAGTAACCCAATTTGAGCCATTTTCCCTTCTTTGGCATAACCACATTACAAACCAATGGATCTTTGCTTTATTTTCACCTTTATTAGTTTTTGTGAAGCATTCTTGGGACTTGATTTGTATTTTTGGTTAATAACAGTGAGAAAAAGAATGAAAAAGAAGTGAAAAACTCAAATTTTGGTACTTGTGATTATATTTGTTATGTTGAATGGTTTGAGTAAGTGAGAAGAAAATAAAGGAAATGAAAGAAAAAGTCGCTCAAAGTTAAAAGAGGCGAGAGCAAAGAATAAAAAGAAATGAAAAAAAAGAAGAAAATATTGAGAAAATACAAAAATATTTGTTGTTTGGTTGAAAAAGAATAAGCTTGGGGGAGGAGTTGCTAGAATTTTTGATTTGAAAATTGGTAGTGTATTGAGTTTGAATTGAGGAATGATCAACCTTGCTTCACTTCTAGTTTACCACCAATTTCCAAATTTATTTCCACACCCTTTACCATAGCCTAAACGTTTCAACCCTTTTAAGACCTTTTGACCTTAGTAAGGTTTAGTTACTACCGATGGAGAGTAATCAAGCCAAGCCTATTGAGCGAGCTATCAATGCCAAGATGTCGGGTAGCCTAAATGTTTTTCATTGATTAGTTCTTCCGATTCCTTCGAGGAATCTCGAGATATCAACTAAAAAGTGGATGCAAAACTAGTGAGGATACGGGAGTTTGGTTGAAGATAAGGAGGAGTGTAAGTCCCTCTAAGTTCTCTACCCTTTGCATGCTTTATGTGTGCATAAACCTTGGCTATTCTTTTGCTTGGCTACCTTTAATGTCTAGAAAGGATTGTATTCTTGTGCATTTAGCCCATTGTTTGTGTTTGGTTTAAAATATCAAAACTCGAGTTTTCTTGATTTCACCTTTGCCTTGAATGTTATGTGTTGCCAAGAGTTGTGGGTTAAACCTCTTAGGAAACCCTAACGAGAGCTTACTCGTCCTCTTTGGCGACATAGGGGTTTAAAGGGCTTGATGCATACGCTAAATGCAACCGTGATTCCTACGACAGTGAGTTAGTGTACATTCTTTCTCTTTGTTTCTATTTTTGTTTCTTTTGCTTTAAATAATTCCATCTTGTTCTCTTTTGCCTTAGTTTTGCTCGAGGACGAGAAAAGGTTTAGCTTGGGGGAATTTGATGAGTGACATTTATGTCACACCTAAGGAGTAGTTTTAGAGTCTTTTCCGTGTTTATTTTCCCTTATTTTCCTTTTATTCGTTTGTTTTCTCTTTAATAAAGTTTCTAGTTATTTTGGTAATTTTGGAGCATTTTAGTTTATTTTCTTTATTTTATTAGTTTTAGTCTATTTTCGTATTTTATTTTATTTTATTTGCTTGCGTAGTTTTAATTATTTTTAGTTTAGTTTTATGTCTCTTATTTTTTATTTCATTTTATTTATTTTTATTTGATTTATTTTATTCTATTTGTCGTGGTTTTGTTTTATTTCGTCCTTTGTTTATTTTCATTTTATTTTATTTTATCTTTGTCCCGATTCTCCCTTGTTTTTATTTGGTTGTGTAGGATCGTGCTCGGAGGCCGGAGGCTCGAGTCAAAGGTGTCAATCCAAGAAGCTTTCAAGCCCCAAAGTTGCTGCCCAATCTTAACCATCACCACACACCCTTATCCTCCACCACAACAACACCTCCATCTCCCCTGCTCCCTCACGCACACAGCAGCCCACCGTTCCCACAAACCAACAACAACCATACGTCCAGCCTGCAACCCCGCAAACACCACACACACCAGCACCAACCATCAGCAAACAACCACCAACCTTTCCCCTACTCCCTCACGCAACCACCAATTCATCTCACCAGCCACCACAACCGCAGCCTCCTATTTTCCTCCACCAACAACAGCCGCAACAACGCACACCAAGGACCACCACTCACCTCCATTTCCCTTGCTCCAATTCGCACCAACAACCACCTGACCACCTAGAACCTCCCCTTTTCCACCGTCCAACCAACTCCCCTGGCAGCAACCTACCACCAAAATCACCACAACAGCCCCTCACCAACACCCCGTAACAGCCGAACCACCACTCTCACGCACCTAAACCAGCAATCGGCCTCACCTGCACCACTGTCAACAACCAGCAACAATTAAGCAATTCGGCCCCTCAATTAAGCAAATATCAGAATAAATTTTGATTCAATCAAGTCCGGGCGAACCGCATAGGGTTCGGTCGAAGTCCGAGACAGAGACTTTGGAGGTTTTGTTATTCGAAGAGGTGTGGTCGAACACACCCATGGTTCGACCGAACCAACCAAGTAGTTCGGCCGCACCAACCCATGGTTCGGCCGAACCACTTCACTAGCCTCGCACATGATATTTAATGAAGATCGAATGGCCTCGATTTGATGATGATGGTTGATGAACGATGGTGATGAAGATGCGCTTCAATGGAGTTTAAAGAAGCTTCATTTTTTTTTCTGTTTTTCTTTTTCTTTTAACTTTCTTTTTTCTTATTTTCATTTTCTTTTCCCTTTTTCTTTGTTTCATCTTTCTTTCTTTCTTTATTTTTATTTATATTTTAATTTCTTATTTTTACTTTTCCTTTTTAATTTATTTTATTTTATTTTGTTTTTCTTTTTTTCCTAGCTTAGTATATATACCCATTTTTGGGGTAATTAGAAAGGAACAATTATAGAATAACTATCTATTCTACTCTCTAATTAGTTTTAGGTTAGGATTAGTCTTCATTGGTAGAGAGAGAAAGTGTGGTTTTCTTCATTGATGAACTTGGATTTTGAAGAAGGAGCTTGTTCAATCCTTTGTAGACCTTCATCTTCAATTAATGAGCAATCTCTTACTCTTTCTCTTTATCTTTGTTTTTGATTTTGCTTATTTGCTTTGATTTTTCTTCTTTGCTTATTAATCATGTTGATGCTTATTCATTTGATGATTGATATTGTTTTCAATATGATTTGTGAGTAGTCACCTAGCCAAGGGTGTGGGGATGGTGTAGTTGCTAAATGTTCATGCTTATAATGTCGGGGTTATGTTAATGGTGATTAAATTCTTTGCATGCTTGATTTTCTTTGGTCTTCTTGCAAGTGCACGTTGTTAGTTGATCAAAGATGAGTCTTTGCTAACAAGTAACGGAAGTTGACTTAGTTGAGGTTCATTACTATCGATTGTTATTTAATAGTACCTCCTAGTATATGGTTCTAATGTGGAAACATAGAGGCTATGTTAGGAGAAGCCAATTGACCCCGGAAGGCGGTTAGATTGGACCCCTTTACTTCGGTATTCATGCATGCTTAGTTTACCAATGATTTGCTACTTTGTTGTTGCATGATCAAGCGTAAACTTCACCTAACCATTTCCCTTAATGTTTTATTTCTTGTTTTAGCATCTTTAGACTTTAGTTCATTTATCTCCTATTCCGGACTAGCTTAATTGTCGATAACATTTGGTGGTGTTTATCTGTTCTCTGTGGTTCGACCCCTATGCTTGCCTTATATTCGTATTAGGTTTGTTTAGGTTGTATAAATTGTATTTGATCTAGGGATAGACAATTGACGACGCGTTTATTCCCTTGTCAACTAGGGATGAGGGGGTAGACCTCTCTGAGGGTGTAAATCTTTCTGAGGGGAGGAATGGGCCTATAAGAGATAGTTGTGATAAGATACAAATCAGTTTTGAGGATGTGCAGCCAGAGATTCATTTTTGGAATTCAGCAATCGTTTGCCATGTGATTGGGATCAAGCCACCATTGTCTGTTATTAATGGGTTTGTAAGAAGACTTTGGGGTAATTTTGGTGTAGACAAGGTTTCATTAATGGCAAATGGGATCTTCCTTGTTCGTTTCAAGACTGTTGATGCAAGGGATCGAGTTCTGGGTTTAACACCTGTATGGTTTGATAATAAGCCTGTAATAATGTGAAAATGGGTGGTGGGAATGGATTTCTCTGCTGAACCAGTGGACCTAGTCCCTATTTGGGTAAGGATGCCTGGCCTGAACCTGAAATACTGGGGACAAAAGGCTCTTATGAAGCTGGCTTCACTGATTGGGAAGCCTATTAGGACTGATAAGGTAACTGCTACTAAGGAAAGACTGGAGTATGCCCAGATTATGGTGGAGGTTAAATTCAATGCTGAGTTACCAGAATGCATTGAGTTCCTTGATGAGCTTGGTAACACAGTCAAGCAGGAGGTGAATTATCAATGGAAGCCTAGGGTGTGTAGGGTGTGTGGTGGGATTGGACATGATGATGCTCAATGTCCTAACCATAAAGTGCAAGCTAGGAAAATGGAGGGGCTGCAGGCTGGGAAATATCAACAGCTCAATAAACAAAAGAAGAAGCCTCAAAGAGTAGGGAAGCCAATTAAAAAGCCTGATATTCAGAACCAGAATAATGGGAACAGGACAAACACCTTGAATGGTGGCATGCAGACTGATGATATTTGTCAAAGACCTCAGTTAGTGCAGTCTGGTGTGTTTTTAATTAGTAGAAGTGGTAACAGGTTCAGTGTCCTGGAAGAGGGAGAATGTTCTCACTCTTACACTGGATAAGTTTTGATTCTGGAATATAAGAGGTCTAAATAAAGCCAGCAAGCTCTGTAATGTCCTATGGTTTATTGGACACCATGGAGTGGGTTTATTTGGACTTCTTGAAACAAAGCTGAAGGCTGTGAAGTTTGGTGATGTTTTTAATAGGTTTGGAAGTGAATGGTCTGTTTGTGCTAACTATTGCTACCATAAAGGAGGTAGAATTTGGGTGGTTTGGTTATCTCAGTTTTTTGATGTGAATGTGGTAAGATGTGCAGCTCAATTGATTCACATTTGGGTAGCTCACAAAGCTACTGGTGTGAATTTTAAGTGTACTATGGTTTATGGTTTGAATACTGCTTGAGATAGGGTGCAACTGTGGGAGCAAATTGTTGAGATCAGTAATATGGTTAATGTTACTTGGATTTTACAAGGTGATTTTAATAGTGTTATGAATCTGAATGACAGAATAGGGAGCACTGTGTCCTTAGCCGAGGTTGAGCCTTTTAGATCTTGTCTAAGGGATGTTGGTCTCACTAATTGGGCTACAGGTGGAATGTTTTATACTTGGAATAACAAGCAAGAGGGCAAGGATAGAGTTTGCTCAAAGATTGATAGGGTTATTGTCAATAATGAGTGGATGCTGAATTTTGCTGATATGCAAGCTACTTTCTTCCCAGCGGGGTTAATGGATCATTGTCCTTGTGTGATTAAGTTGTTTGATTCTGGTAATCATACTAAAAAACCTTTTAGGTTTGTGAATATTTGGGTGGACTCTCCAGATTTTCTACCTGGGGTTAAGGAAGTCTGGTGTTAAAAGGTTTCTGGTACTCTTATGTATCAATGTGTAAAGAAACTGAAGGAGGTAAAACAGTTTTTAAAAGAGTCTAAGATGGGTAGATTTTCTTGTGTGGAGGTTGATGATGCAGTTGCTGGAAAGCACCTTCAAGATATCCAGGTCAAATTGCAAAATGATCCTGGTAATGAAGATCTTATCAGTCAAGAAAGACTGGCTAGAATCCAGTTTGCAAAAACTCATGCTGATAGGTTTAACTTCTTAAAACAAAAGGAAAAGCTCCATTGGCTCAAGGATGGTGATATGAACACTGCTTTCTTTCATGCTATGATCAGGAAGAAAAGACTTTAGAATAACATTTTCTCTATTGTGAATGATGAAGGGATGGTTATTTCCGATCTTGGACAAGTATGTGAAGCTTTCCTTCAGTACTATCAAGGTTTACTTGCTACTGAGACTCATATGAATGCGAATATCCATTAGGGAGTTATTTCTGAAGGTAAAGTTCTTTCTGAAGATCAGGGCATTAGTTTGTGCAGGGAGTTTTGTGAGCAAGATGATAAGATAGCTCTGTGGAGCATTGAGGATAACAAAGCTCCTGGTCCTGATGGGTTCTCCAGCAAATTTTTTAAGGCTACCTGGAGTTTGGTTGGTCCTGATATCACTAAAGTTGTCATGGATTTCTTTATTTTAGGCAAGCTACTTAAGCAGATTAATGCTACCACACTTACTTTGATTCCTAAGGTTGAGCATGCTAATAGGGTCACTCAATTTAGACCAATTGCTTGCTGCAATGTGGTTTACAAGATCATTTCCAAAATGATTTGTGATAGATTAAAGGAAGTGCTTCCTGATCTAATTTATGGGTGTCAAGGTGCCTTTGTTTCTGGGAGATCTATCTTGGATAACATTTTGATTTGTCAGGATATGCTTAAAGCCTACAATTATATGAGAAAGCCTCCTAGATGTACTATTAAGGTTGATTTGAGGAAGGCTTATGATTCTGTTAATTGGAGATTTATTCATGAGATGTTGAATGCTCTCAAATTCCCCACCAAGTTCATCTCCTTGATTATGAAGTGTGTGACCACTCCTTCTTTTTCTCTGCTGCTCAATGGGGGTTCTTATGGTTTTTTCAAAGGGAAAAAGGGTGTGAGGTAGGGTGATCCTATGTCTCCTCTTTTGTTTGTTATTGTGATGGAATATCTAACCAGACTTCTCAGGAAAGTTGGTAAAAAGAGAGATTTTAAGTTTCATCAGAGGTGTACTTCATTAGCTCTTAATCATTTGATCTTTGCTGTTGACCTGATGTTATTCTCTTATGGGAACACTGAATTTGTGAAACTCCTCATTAGAGCTTTGAAAACCTTTGAGGCAAGATCAGGGCTTCAAGCAAACCTGGACAAAACAACAATTTACTTTGGGAATGTTCAGCACCAGGTACAGGATAGCATTTTGAGGAGTTCTGGGTTTGTTATGGGTGATATGCCTTTCAGGTACCTTGGTATCCCTCTCAATGCTAAATATTTGAAAGTGAATGACTATGATAGTCTGATTGATAAAATGCTGATGAGACGGCAATGCTGGAGTAGCATAAACCTGTCCTATACTGCTAGAGTCACCCTTGTTAATTCTGTACTTATGAGCTTACATACTTATTGGGCTCAGTGTGTTCTTCTACCTAAGAAAGTGGTGGATAGAATCACTCAGTTATGTACGGCTTTCTTATGGAGTGGAAATGTTGTGCTGTCTAAGTCCCCCCCCCATTTGCCTGGGATTGGATTTGCAGACCTAAGAGATGTGGTGGGTTAGGTATTAGGCATTGCAAAAATTGGAACAGAGCTGCTCTAGGAAGCTATGTTTGGAAGATTGCAAAAAAATCTGATTCTTTATGGGTTAGATGGGTTCACTCTGTATATATCAAGGAGGAAGATTGGTGGGATTATAAACCAAAGAAAGATGCTGGTTGGGCCTAGAAGCTATTATGTAAGGTCAAAGATGAGCTTAGACAGGGGTTTGAAACTGAGGATTGGTTAAATAAAAAGTATAGAATCAAAGATGGCTACAAATGGCTCCAGGGTAACATGGATAAAGTTAACTGGTATGATTGGGTTTGGAATCCCTTCAACATTCCTAATCATACTTTTATTAACTGGCTTTCAACTTTGGATAGGCTCAGAACTAGAGACAGGCTAGTTCAGTTTGGGGTCTGTAACTCTATTGACTGTCTTTTGTGTGGAGAGGATGCTGAAACCAACAATCATCTTTTCTTTGGTTGTAGTTATAGTACAAAGGTCATTGATGATGTTGCTCACTGGCTTGGTTTCCCTAGTTCCCTTTTGCAGTCTCTTAACAGCAAGAAGAACTGGAAAATGAGAGGTAAAAATTGTATCCAGCAAAAAATGATCATGGCTTGCTTGTCTGCTATTGTTTATAATATCAGGATGGCTAGAAACCATGCTTTTTGGTTTAAAGCTGTTCTAAGTCTAGATTTGCTCTCAAAAGGTGTTAAGAGAGAAGTGATGATTAGATGCCAGCAAATGATCAATCATACTTGGAAGATTGAAAACTGTAAGTGGTTGCAGCACCTCAAGTCTTGTATCTAGCTGTTTTTTTATTGCTTGTTTGATGTTTAGTCTGGTTGTATGGGGAGTTGGGTGTAAGTCCTTTTCCTTTTGCAGGTCTAGGTTTCCCTGAGCCCTTCCTAGAAGGTACCAGGGATATCTTTGACTTGGTTTTGGTTTTTTGTTCCTGCTTTAAACCCTTCCTAGAAGGTGGTAAAGCTGAACTTCAAACTATGGTGTTTGTTTGCCTTTGTTGTCAAGGCTTGTGTAGCTTTAGGTTCCTACTGGCCAGGATTGTACACTATTATTTTGTACAACTTTTTTGATCAATATACTTTCTTACCTTAAAAAAAAATTAAAAAAATAAGATGAAAATTACCTCGATTAGGAACATCAATATATTTAACTCACTCTCGCACAATTAATCATGTTAATTATCCTACTAAACTAATTCACTCTCCTGCAACTAGCCTAGCAAAGGTATGGAAGAATTTAGGCTCTCAACCAACTCACTCTCGCACAATTAAGAGCATAGAATCGATTAGCTAGAAAGATTCTAATCCATAAAAGCATCATCCATACACAATAATCAAGAAACAATTTCATACTAATCACAATCAATCATTCAATTCATTAATAAAACCTTCATCCAATTCCCTAGAATAAGACCTAAGCTAACATAATGAAGATAGACATGGAAAACAAGGTAAAATAAGAATAAAAATAAGATTAAACAAACAAACTAATTAATCTACTCAAATCAACAAACAAAAAGAAAAAACTAAGAATTAAGCAAAGCAATAAAGATGACAGAAAGTTAGAAAATGCTCATTGAATAGATGAGAAGAAGTTCCACAAAGTTGCTCCTTCAACCTCTCAAAAACTCCATGGAAATCCAAGCTTTCTCTCTCTAAAACTACTCCTAAACTAGAGAGAGAAAACCCTAATCTAACCCTAAGAGAAAGAAAATAAAAGAGGCTAAACTAATCTAATCTAGGTGAAATAAAATGTTGATTGAAAGTTAAGAGAAAATAACCCCAAAGGGGATATTTATAATATAAGTTAAATAAAATAAAATAAATAAAACTAACTAAAACTAAATTCAAAAATAAAACTAAACTAAAATAAAATAAAAGAAAAATAAAGTGGAAAATAACCCCAAAACCCCTAATATTCCCACCAGACCCACAAATTTCATTTCGTGGCTGCTCCCGATTTCCTTCATCACCATCACCACGCATCATCAGTTCATCACCCCCCATCAACCATCAACAACAATCATCAACGGTAATCATCAAGCTTCATCCTCCACCTTCAATATCAACCGTTCGATCTCATTAATTATCATGTGCGAAGCTCGTGATATGGTTCAATATGAACCCAGAAATGCGCGCCCGTGAAGTCATCGCGCATAGGTCGCGCAAAGCTACTGTCTCGACTATGATTTTGGATTTCAATTGTGTGCGCCTTCTGACAGGGATGCGCGCCCGCGGTGGTCTTGGTAGCTCCTCGTTGCTGCGGTGCTGCTACTTTGGTGCTGTTGCGATTGGTGATTGGAGGGGCTGTCGCTGCTAATTATTGGCGTGGTGGATGCGTAGGTTGATTGGAGGTGATGGTGGCTGTAACGATTTGGCTGGAGGAGATGGTGGCAGGCTGGGATCGAATTGATGGGTGGTTGTTGATGGTGGTTTGCTGATGTGAGTTGAGGGGTTTGATTGGTGAGTGGTTTGGTGGTGATTGATGGCTAGAGTGCGTGAGGGAGCAGGGGATTGTGGTGGTGATTGTTGGCGGTTTTGGCGGTGGGTTGTGCTGTGGGTTGCGAACAGAGGTAGTGGTTTGCGTGGCTTCCTGTCGTTGTTGGGTTGTTGTGGCTGGTGGTGTGTGGTGGTAAGAGAGTTTGTTGTTGTTGCTGTTGGTATTGTTGAGGAAAGCAGAGAGCAGGGGAGAAGTGAAGTAGAGGGAGCAGGGGATTTTGGTGTTTTGGTGCGGTGGAGGTTAAGGTGA